GCGTGCAAAAAGCTTTCCACTAGTTGTCTAGTCTATGTGTTCTCTGGTTAGTGCTCATACATTTATAGTTGTATCGTTAATATCGATGATAACAACGAATATTGGCAAAGCCAAAATAAAGCAAGATGAAACAATAATTAGATTGTTAATTAATGCCACGACAACTTGGTAATGAATAAACGTGTGCGCATCGTCGTAGTGGGTGATTCAGGTAATTATCAAGTATTTTGACGCTATTTGAATATAAATTGATTACAATGTTTCTAGGTGTAGGAAAAACATGCCTAACTCACTTAATTGCCCAAAATGAGTCGTTAATACGCCCTGGCTGGACAGTTGGCTGCAACATTCAAGTCAAAATTCACGAATTCAAGGAAGGTACGGCCCGACAGTGTCCATATTTTATTGAATTGTTTGACATTGGTGGCTCTCTAAGCCACAAAAATACGCGAAGCGTTTTCTACAGTGGTATACATGGAGTTATCTTGGTGCATGATCTAACGAACGGCAAGTCGCAGGAGCAACTACTTGACTGGCTCTACGAGATAGTCAATAAGGATGGCAAAGATACGTACAAATGCCGCAGCCCCTCTTCGCCGCCGTCACCGACACCGTTGCACGGCTATGGCACGGATACCAGCATGCGGTTTGATTTAGAAGAGTTCTTAGGCGCTACACAAATACCTATTTTAGTAATAGGCACTAAGTTAGATTTGATCGATGAGAAACGTCAACCCAAAACATCTGTTAAAAAGGCCGGTGGTATAGGTCAGTATTAATAGTTTGTTGTCAGATGTAGTTAAAGTTTCCTGTAATCTATATATATTTTCCGTTTGTAGCCGACAAATGTGGGGCCGAGGAAATATGGCTAAACTGTCGGGATACACGCAGCTTAGCAGCGGGTACAACTGATGCGGTTAAGTTATCCCGTTTCTTCGACTGTGTCATTGAAAAGCGCGAAAGCAATGGGTGCTCAGGAGCTCATCTAGTGGCATCCACTGCTACAGAAAGGAGAAGAGCCGCTAACTCACAGCCTTCCAGTCCGGAGTTCCCGATACATGCGAGCAAAGTAACTGAAACTTTCGTACCACTGCTAGAAACCAACGATCTAAAATAAGGATTAGGACTTAAAAGTTAGATTTAAGAAAATATATTATATATAAGCTAATATACTTTTACACTGAACCAACAACGCTAATTTAGATACCTTGCATCATTTGGCGATACCATTCAGGCAATATGGGCTTCACATTTGGACCGCGTAGCACAGAGTATTGAATCTTATTCAGATCCGGTTTGTAGTGGATCATAACAACAGCGTTTGAGTCATTAATACGATGCATTATTGCCTTGAGCTCGTGCAGAAAGTTTGAAAGGAATGTGCCTGTGGCTGCCGGGCTCCAAGGCTTGTGTCGGTGTAGTTCGCGCACGCTGTACTCTTTAATATCGTGAACGAGTCCATTGTCATCCCGCAATCCAGCTATAATCGTCTCGATGCCAACCAAAAACGATTGGCTCCACCAGTTGAGACTCTTGTAATTAGCAAAGTTCTGCTGTTGCCTGTGGGTCATTTTGTATGCAGATGTTTTAAGCTCTACAAACTCTGCCAAGCGTAGCTGCTCCGGATCGCTTAGGTCGCTGAGAAAAAGTATAGATATTATTAAAATATGTTATGCAGAGATACATATGTTACGCAGATAACGTACATACAGACGTCACTTTTAATGCAGTCCATCTCCGCGCCATAGATTAGACGCAGGCCATTTAATTTGCAACGGTAGACACATGCGAACTCTTGGGATTCATTAACAGGTGCATTTGTAGCCGGTGCTTTGTCTGGATGGGACGTTGTGCAATACTGTTCAAACTTAAAGCCCCATGAGCACATGTCCATTTCACGGCGTGTCATCTGCTCTCCTTGGTTTCGCTGGTCACTAGTTTCTACTTTGGATATGTAGGTGGTGCCGTTTAGGCGTGTTGCCATTAGTCGATAGTCACGATTCCTTTGGTATGGTGTGCACATAATTTGGCGAAGAACACCACGTAAAGTGACAAAATCTGCAAGCAGTTCCATTTGCCCTGTGGAAGAGGTGCGTAGATACTCTTGATGATTAGAAATGAACTGACAGATGTGACATATATCGAGATAGTCAGGATCAATGCTTTTGCGCTGCACTTTTTCAATGCCAGAATTGAGATCTAGTGGCATTTCGCTAGAATGTGGCAACCAAAGGAAACTCAAATTCTTGGCATTGTCCTCGAACTCTCGTGATTCGTTAACGCTATAGACGCCAATGGGCTCAGGACGACTTAAGTCTGGAAAGGTGCCCGAGAATTTAGCCCCGAATCTATGCAGGCGCACATTCACACGGAATGTCTGAGTATCATTTCTGCCAGTATGAGACATCTTGATTAGAGTAGTTAGTGTTAGAGTATTGCAAGACAAAATCAAAACATGGAGCAATTATCCGTCATTCAAGAAACATGGTCTGTATATCGATATATCGATAGATGATAATTTAAATAATGATTCTTTTTAATTTTGTGCCAAATACTGCAATTTATAATTTATTTATTTCAATAAATTTTTTTAAATTTGTTAATACCTACTCTGATGCAAAAGTATATGCCAATGTGCGTATCCAGACGCAATACACACACATACATACATACATATGTCGATGCCATTTTCGATTATGTTACCTATCACTGTATCGATGCAATGGGTGATATCGCCTTTATAACTGAAATAAAACCGAGAAACTTCATCTTATAAATCAGATAGGAGCACTTATTAGCAAAAATGAGACAGCAGCGAGAGTGTATTGTAGTGAATATGCGTTCGGTGATAGTGCTGATAATCATATTCGTATTAACCGGCATAAGAAATAGCGAGACCGCCAGCGGTGGCAACCAAATGGATCTGGCGGATATCAAAAGTGATCCGCGCAAAGACAACAGCAATACAGGCAACAATAATAACGACGATAATGTGGTGTTTGCACCAGCCCTGACGAACATGGGCAGCAAATCACCAGCGGCTATCGACAACAACAACAGCAACAACACCACGAATATGCTATGCCCCTTGGATAAGGACACACCCTGTGAACGGTTGCAATTCCCATGCATTCGATGCACCTACAACTTCAATTGCCTGTACGGCCGCGATATTAACATCACATGCGAAGCAGCCAACAATGTACAGTGCAGTGGAGAGCGCTTGTTTCAACGTCAAATGAATTGTCGCTATTGTTATCAAACCGAAATGTGGCAGCAGAAATGTGAACAGCATGCCAATTGCAATTCGGCTGCTGATAAATACTATCGCACCAATTGCACTGTGCACCAGGATGTGCTTTGTCTGGGAAGTCGTTCGTTTACTCGCAATTTGCGTTGCAACTGGACTCAGGGCTATCGTTGGAGCACCGCGTTACTTATCAGCCTTACTTTGGGCGGCTTTGGCGCCGACCGTTTCTATTTGGGCCACTGGCAGGAGGGCATTGGTAAGCTGTTCAGCTTTGGTGGCCTCGGCGTTTGGACAATCATCGATGTGCTCTTGATATCCATGCACTACTTGGGACCTGCCGACGGTTCACTCTACATTTAATCCGGCGAGCAGCCCCGCTTTTGTCAATGTTCATATATAATGTGGAAGAGGCGCTGGGGAAATCACCTAAAATGCGTATTATACGAATTCAATTTGAAACTTTCGCCATTTTCATGTTTCTACTTAAGAAGACGACGGACGAACATTTTAACTGAATAAGTCAAAAAATCTAATCTAATAAAATTGATAAACATTAATAATTATCTATATTTAAGTTATAATTTAGATAAATACCTTTAGGCTAATTTACATAAAAATATTTTTTAATTAAACTTTGTAAATAATATGTGAATAACATTGCATCTCTAGACATAAAGATAAAATGTGCTCAACATTCTAAATAGCTTTCTGAGTGAAGAGGTATGCAAATATCTTTATATACTGTCACTGTCTGGTCAGTGATACTGTTCATAAGCAGTTTAGTTATGTGTAAGAGGAGACTTCTATATAAATAAAATGTATAAATCTCTTTTTGTTAAACATGTTTATGCATTCAGACAGATACATTTTGTAATACTTTATAATTACATTAATTATCTGATGGAATGCTGGCACTTGTGGTCGGGTCGTTGATCACCTCGTCGACTGCATCATCAAACTTGATGTGCTTGGCCAACATCTTAGCGACTTTTTCACGTCCGCGTTTCTGCTGCACACGCACCTTCTTAGACAATTTGGCTTCGCGATCCTGTTCGATTTTGCGCCAGTATTGCGTTTCTGGCTGGCCGCGCAACACTTTGAGCTGAATTTCAGCACAGTTGAGCTGACGCACCAACTCTTCAGCGGCATTTGGTGTAACCAAACGTAAATGCGCCACCTGGTCGCCCTCTTTAATGTCCACATACTTGATGTCCGCGTATTGACGCATGTCGGCTTTGAAGTCCTTTACGTTAACGCACGGTTCGTGGAGTGAGCACTCGACAATGAGACCCGGTTGGTACTTAAAAAGCGGCGGGCGTTCCTGTGCCGCATCCTCAGCTCGACCCGCCAATTTAGTTTCGTCCGCCTCGTTGCCACCCGCGCCATAAAAATTCATATTCATTTTATGAACGCCAGCAGTTTTGTTGCGCTTTCGGCGCTTGGGCGGCACCGGCACTTCGGATACATCCCCAGGATCGTTAAGCTGTTCTGGCTCTTCGTGTCCACTGCTGGTACCGCTGGTACAGATACCCTTCACCTCTATCAACTGCTGCTGCTGTGCTTGCAACTGCGAGCTCATAACTGTGCACTTGTGCATTGGTTGTTGCGCCTGTGAAGTGCGCCAGAGTTTGCTCTTGGCTTCACTAATTAAGCGCCGCTGCAAATTGAGATACTTGTTGCGAAGGCTGCACCAGCTAGTCTTGGGCAATATTTTTAATTCCGACGCGCTGGGCTCAATGTTTGGCTTAAGTTTGTCTGCAAGAAGTCGCTTCTTTTGCTTACGACGGCGCTTCTGGCTCGTAGCCTCGTTTTGTTCCTCGTTGTTATTGTCACTTTGCTGAGAAATTTCCTCTTTAGACAATTCTCTAGCGGATGCTTCGCAATGATCTTTTAACGTGTTAAGTTTGGCCCTTTTGGTTGGCACGGTTTCCTGTATACCTTCCTTATCGGCTTCACGTTTGCTTGGCTGCTTGACTACAACATTTGTTTCCGATGCGGATTCTTGCCCATCCAAACTAGTCTTATTTCTTTGCTGGAGCTGTTGCTGCTGGAAGGACCGTATGCTAGCTAAATCACTGGGGTCCGTGTGCTCCACGGATAGAACGCCCTGGATTTGAGAATATGCCTTCAGAGCCTTCTCCACGGAGCTGCTCTTCTCAAATTCGATAAAAGCAAATTCCTTGATCTTTCGCGTGCCCGGATAATGTGGCAATGATACATAACTGACCGTGCCATAGCGGCCAAAAACTTCTTTGAGCCAGTCATGTGTTGCAGTTGCCGGCAGAGCTTCAACATAAAGGGTTTTATTGTTGACGTCCCGGTGCTCCGGCAGCGCAGTCTTCCGGCGGACTTTGAGTCCACTCTCGTCTAATTCCAGCAATTGAGAATTGGACAGCGACGTTGATATTTGCTGCACATCCTGAGTAAGTGTCTTGATTTTGTTGAATGTCAGAAATATTTCCAGCGGCACATCTACAAACAGTGGCAATGTTCTAGTATATACATATTCATAGATTTATGTGTTTACTTACATGGATCCTTCTCTATAAAGCGACGTAAAAAGCGATCCTTGCTGAGATTGGCGTCGCCAAAATAAAACTCCATCTGGCCGCGAATTGCATTAAAAAGGTGGCGTTTCCGTTTACGTCCTCCACCTTCATTTTTTGCCGGTGTCGGCACTGTGGGTTGTGTGCTGGCGACAACTGCTTCACCTTCAGCAACAGTTGTATTAGGCTTTTCAAACTCCGGACCATCATTCTTTTCCGCGATACCTGCTTTAGCTGCCATTAGCGTTTATTTTAAATAAAAAGATTTGGAGAGCTGATAGTGTGAGGCGTTGCCAGATCAATTAGTTTTAAAAATTTATCGTTGTGCATATAAATTAAAAAACAACCAGGACTATAAGTTTGCTCTTATTGTTATATATAAATATCAGATCTGGTGAGTTATTACACTATTAGTGATTTTCATCATATTAGCACACGATTGAGTGATAGTAGGTTATGCAAAGCGAACAGCTGATTTAACAGCGTGACGT